ATGCATTTTCAAGGCAATATATACAGCTGTAGTAGGGCAGCAGTGTATAGTTGATGTTTCTTTTTTGTGTAGCCATGATCTGTTCTCTAGAAGGAGGATTCTCAGGTTGAAATGCTCTAAGTATCGATCGATGATCGTCAGTTGATGTATTTTCCTGAAGGAGCATGACATAATCATTTCGTCCTTGTGCAGACCTATTAACAGACAATAGTATTAACATATTTGTGCTTGTAGCTGATTTGTGCATTGCGCGTAGATTGTCTGTATTGTATTTAATTCTTCTCTTGCATAAGGAATGAAAATTGCCTGTTGTAAACGGAATGCGTTTTGGAAAAACGAGTACAGAAGAAGACCCCCTCTACAAATCTTCCCTCCCACTTAAGGGTCAGAACAGCGTTGTTTGATTCAAACATTATTAAATTTTTTATAAAGCATTAGTGCTTTTAATATTATTTCGCTTTTGAAATCTCCGCTTTCAACTTCTTTCAAGTTTAGTGGCAGATATTTGGATCCGTTCTAGTAGGTGAAAAAATTTCATGTCGTACATCGCCATGGCCTATGTTTGTGTACTGTCGTCTTAGCCTTTGCTTTATGACTCAAAGGTTATATTTCTGAGCTTTATATTTAGTCTTGGGCTATGCGATGCATAAATAAGCGGTAGATCGTAATTTAACTGACATATGGCAGGGAAGAACATGGTTAACTGCTGATTTTGTGTACAGTATGCTAAAGAAATGCCCCGGAAAGATGCACGAATTTTTCGTCGTAAATTTGAAGTTGAAGCACAGCTGGTTCGCAAACTGAGAGAATGTTTTCAAAGTAGGACATGGCGTGAAAATTTATTCTGTAGCTTAAAAATTATACAGAAGTGTTTGTACTTTGGGCGGGGGGAGGTTAATAGCTTGTATGTTCAGTATGCTATGTGCTGCGAGTTTTATCCTTGCAGTATAAAAATAAGTAAGCAAATTAGTAAGTTACGTACTAACTGCTGACAAAAGTAAAAAAGTAAAACACTGCCTAGTAGATAAATGAGTACGTAAAACATCATGAATATCCGAGTCGTTATGCCAGTAAGTAAGTAAATAGGTAAGTACAGCTAAGAAATAGGTTAGGCGATAAGTTGACTGGTTTGAAGAGAAGATAACTATTGCTGTTAGCATCGCCATCTTAGGCTAATAGTGACTGAACATAAAAGTAGCCCAGATTTTGGCTGCTTGACGTTGAGACTAATGTATATGATTATTATGAGGCAACGTTTGGCAGCAGATAAAAATGTAATTAAATAAGCATGTAAGTAATTACGTTAGTAAGCAAGTATGAAAGTAAGTAAATGATTAGAGTTAATAAGGAAGTAATTTAGAAAATAACTAAGAAAACAGGCATAAAACTAAGTAAGGAGGTAGTTGAGTTGATGAGTGTGTAAGAAACTGATTGAATAAGTCCAGAATCAGCTTGTAAAAAATGTAAAATGATTAAGAAAAATAGGAGTATGCAAAGTAGCAAGTATATCGTAAAATCTTTAAATGAGTCACTAAATGGGGGCTAAGTCAACTAAGAAATAAGTTGTTAAGCAGCCAACTGATTAAGCTTTTATGCTTTCGTCATCGAAGAGTTCCCGCTATCCGCAGAACATCGATTCAAGTGCAGCAAGCGAACTACACTTAATAATGCATACTGCAGTACATATTTCATTTACCTCAGCAGCAAAGAGCTATAGGGCCAGGTTCCGTACTCATCTGTTTGAGGATACCATTCAGTAGTGATTAACTGGATGAAATTGTGATATACATTAGAAGCCCGGATTTGGTCAGAATAGAGAAGAAACAGAATTTTAGTGTTAATCGACTTTTGACGCTGCAAATAGTTTTGAACATCCCATACTTTCCTCAGATTGCAGTCGAGATTTACGACGGATTATGGTTGAAAGTGTCTCTTATTCAGCTTGTTACATTCTTTTTACCGTTGTAGTCTAAATGGTTAATTGAGCTTTTACCGGCGTGCTTTGAGATGATTTGGCGTTCGACGGCATAATTTCCGTTTTTAGACAAATACCTGTTGAACTACATCCTGACGAGGCCAAAACTCGAAGCGTTTGTTCTGTCTTCCCTTTGTCAGGTATCAATGACGATGTCGTATGGTTCATTCATTTCACGACCGCATCTAAACATGTTATACTTATTATAGCTGTTCTCCAGACTAACCAAGGTAGGATGGTTCGACCATGGGAGCGACGGCGAGTACGTTTTTCGCAATTCCGTGGTGCAGCTGACCAACCTTGGTCAGGTATGCTTCGTCATTTAGAATTCAGCATTTCAATGCCATATGTCTTTTGACTGCTTTGCAGGATTCAGCCGAACTTTGCCGTTTGGCAGTGCAGATCTTAAGCCGTATGGTAGTCGAAATGAACCAGGTGAGACCTTTGTGTTAGTGCACTCTGAGAGAATTGGTTACGAAAAAATTGATTGTCGTGGGGGGACTAGGTTGAATTGAAAATTTATAATGTAGTCTGTCTGTGTTCGTTTATGTGTTGTTATATACCATCTATCCAGTATTTTCTGAGCGATTCATTCAGTCTACGTCTAACGGGGGTTCAGATAGTTAAGAGTATGACAAAAATATTTTTGCTCAACTGGAAATACAATGTTGGTCATCATTCATCTGACCAAATTAGAATGACCTCTCATAGTCATGGTTGCCTTAAAGACATTAGGTTGGTTGTGCTTGTTGCCGTTTTCTCGTTTACGACCGTCGCGACCGTAAATTTTCACAACTAACATGCCGGATTCTAAAATATAATTTGTCACGAGACATTACTCTTATTTTGGTTGTTGCCTGTTTTCCGGTATAAGAATTTATCTAAGCCGTCTTTTTATCTTACTCTCATTAGAGTTGCCTTGTACCTGTTTAAATCGTTGCTTAAAATCGTTGTTGTTTAAATGTTTAAATCGTTGCTGTTTAAATTTCTCGCACCAGTGACTAAATGATTACTTGCTATTAGCTTCTTGCAATTTATGGACTTCCGTGATTATTAGGTTAATCAGAAACCGCGTGTCTTAAACCACGTGTCTGTTATTTTAGCAAGAAGGGTTCGTGTCGAACGCAAAGTTCCGGTACACTGCGGTTTCGTTCAGGGACGATTACCTGTTCGAAATCTTCCAACTGTCGTTGCGGCTTCTGCGGTCAGTTTCCCAAAGCATCGAGAGCTTGTCGTTTCTCGATGAAAGCCAGGTACTCGCAGACGGCTGTCACTTCATGGTTCGCCGTCGCTACGAGAGCTGACCGTCTTTAATCTTCAACTTTACTAAACGTAATTCCTCTTTTAGCAAACCTTAATCAAACTTCTGCTGAACTTATGCGAGAGTTGCCTCAGTTACGACTTCCTTGGTTCAGTGGTCGATGAAACCAGCGACGACAACTTTAGCATCCAAGTACCACCAGCATGGCGTTCTGGTATCTATCGTTTTTAAAATTTGATTCTATTTAAAATTAATATTCTTATCGGTGATTACGTAATTTTCGGTATTGTAATTGCGTCTATTGCAGAACATTACGCCATTCTGCTCATTGTCGGATTATGGCCTATTGATGTTGTTAAGTCTTATTGTATCCTTTTTTGTATCAAACAACGAATCATTTTCATTCCTTAGCTGTTTAACAGAAGCCGATATGACAGGACATTTCCATGTAACAGAAACTTCAGTTTTAATTAAATTAGTTCGTTTCATGAACTTGAATTTAATATTCGCATCAGAATTACATCATCATTCTGCGTCACTCATTTAGTAGTCCGATGATCATTTATTGCGACGGTTTCGGACGCTTGGTTGCAGTATTACACTACGTGTTTGGTGCCGGATTCTAGGTCTATGAACGGTGTAAAATTTTTTTAATGAAACTACCTACTCCCATGAGAAAGAATATCACCTTGCTATAATTAATTGCTAGCAGCAGCTTGAAATAGGTAGCAGGTCGCTGGTTTGTGAGCATTATAATCAGTACTGTGTTTTAATATGAGCATACCAGAATGGGGGAGGGGGGCGTACGGTTATGCTATGTGATGCCAGCGCCTTAGGCTGCAGTTCATCTTGATCACATGAGAACTGCTAAAATTTCACGCTAGAACCGCACATAATATGTAAAGGTGATGCCGAATTGCTGATAACTGTCATTAGGCACATTTGCCTTTGCTGTTCAACGTTGCTCTCAAACTCTGTCTCCCAAAGTAGTGCTAATTTAAACGAATTTAAAAGCATATTCTGGACTCTGCAGGTCAAAGAAGCGGGCAGAATTTGGAGGCTATCTTAGTACGGTGGATCGCTTTCAGATGGCTCATCAAGCTTTCAGATGGATCATCACAAGTAACGATTATCAGCTTTTATTTTGTATTGGATTGGTCGACTTGGAGGCGGCTTTCGACTCACTCTACCTCTGATCTGCATTACATGCCCGAAGAAGAAAGGAAATGTCATTGCCATTATTTGCGACAATGAAACGGCTAATAGGAAGCATCACATGGGTGGAGATGAATTCAAAATCGAATAATACATCCAATAGGGTGATGCAATGTCACAGAAGTTATTCGCAGCAGCCATAAAAGAGATTTTCAGTACGTTTCATTATGAAAATCAGTCAGATATAGCTTTCTCCAGTGTTTCAACCTGCGGTAGCGATCTCGTTCAGGGTTACAATAATAATATTATAGTCTGTGTTCTGTTAAATATTATACGTTTATATTGGATACATATAAGATATTTAATGTTTATATAAGCGAGCAGAGGCAAGCCATTCC